ACAGCCTGCTGCTTTAGAATGTGGGTATCACCAGCACATACAGCCTGCTGCTTTAGAATGTGGGTATCACCAGCACATACAGCCTGCTGCTTTAGCATGTGAGTATCACACACACTCTTAGAGTTCATCAACTTTGCCACAATCCTGTCCTGATCATCTAGAGATCAGACACCACCCAAGGACCTTGGGTACAAGAACCATCCTGATAGCGTGGCAGGTGCTCTAATATGAGGACCCGTAGCCCTGGGTTTGATGCCTGTCTCCAGCAACAGCTGCTCTGGCTTCGGCAGGCAGGCCATTGACTTTCTCTGCCCCTTATGTCCTCATCTATAGTTAGGGCAATGGGCTACATGGAGAAAATGGGGAAAGCCACCACAGGGCTATCTAGATAGATGAAAATCTCAGAGAACAGCAACCAGCAACAATGGGATCTAGCCAGGAGAATCAGGTAAGCCTCTCTGTGTAGCTTTAGGTGAAGGCACACACATGTTTGCATGTCAATTTCTTCAGGTAAAGATAAAACAGAGGCCAACTGGTAGGGACTAGTCACCTCCAAAAGCCCGTGATTCTTCAGCCAGCTTGAATATGTCTTTCTCACCCCTCAGGGAATAGGTACAGAAGTAGAATATGATTAACAATCACCATAAATTCACTGAAAAGGAAGAGAAGATGGTGTTCTATCTAAGACATCAGACTTACTTGATGTTCCAAATGGGAAGTGAAAAGCCTGTAAAACAGAGGGCTTAAACAGGGCTTCTCAGAAGTAGACACGGAAGACAGCCATGGTCCTTCCTTCCTGAGCTTCATATTACCCAGGGTAATAAAAATCAGCTTATTTTAAGAAAAGAATTGTCCCCTTAAAAAAAAAAAAAACTTTGTAGCAGGAATCTTAAAAGTTCTTATTAATAAAATCAAACCCTGGGCCAGTAATTGGGGTGAAAGCTGGAAGGTCAGAGAGACAGAACAAGCCACAGCTATCTCACCTCACCAGTTCCTCAGCTGGTCCTGTTTCCTCAGACTGGAAGCCTCTGACTCCTCATCCAGAATGAATCTCAGCTGAACTGTGTTGCTCCATAGCCTGAAAGCTTAACCAGCCAAATGCTTTAACCAGCCAAATGCTTCTAGTTTCTCGTCCTCACGCCTTATATACCTTTCTGCTTTCTACCACCACTCCCTGGGATTAAAGGCTGGCTTTCTGGGATTAAAGGCGTGAGTCACCATGCCTGGCTGTATCCTTGAACACATGGATTTCTGCTCCTGGAATGCTAGGATTAAAGGCGTGTGCTACCACTTCCTATCCTCATGTTTAATATTGTGGCTGTTCTGTCTCTGACCCCATATAAGTTTATTAGGGTACACAATATTTTGGAGAACACAATACTACCACATTTCCTCTCTTTTTGTCTAAAATTAAAAAAGCTTATAACTAATACAAGAAACACTATCCAATAAGTATATACAATATATAGTCAAAAATTACATTAATGATGTCTAGTCCATTAACATTTGACAGATTCAGATAAAAACTCCATTGTATATATAACAATGTCCAGTCCAGTGACATCTGATAAACTCAGACTAATAGATTCAGTAGTCTGCCTTTTGTCATTTTTATATATAAACTCTAACAGTATTGTAGGTATAGATAAAATTCCTTAAAACCTGTCACTGAAGAAATAATAGAATGCTGCCTAGGGCAGCAAGAGCAATGATGAACTGAAAAACCACGTATTAAATTATTTAAACTTTACTCCTGCCTTGATAAAAATGATGCAAAGAGAACCACCAAGACACTATTAAGATCTTTAGGAACAGTAGCTTCAACAGTCCCCGTATAGACACAGTGCCTATAGCTAAACCTGCAAGTTCATAGACTACATTTCCCAAGCTCCCTTGCAAACAGGAGTCCCTTCAGAATCTGCCAATAGAAGACTGGGGCTGTGAGTGAGGGGAAGAGCTGGAGGGCTGTGATTGAGAGCAGTGTAGATCCTGTGCGAAGGGTGACCCTAGCTTCTAGTTACCTCAACAAGGGAGGCACTCATTTGGGAATGCCCACCCTAGGTCCAGGGAGCCCCATCAGCATGGCTCTGAGAAGGTTCTAGCAGGTCAGAAGCGGCAGCAGCCTGCACACCCAACCCCAAATGTTAGCACATCCTCATTGCTAGATCAGACTGTCTTCCTTCTCCTTCCTCTGCCTTTTCATCTACTCTTTTGGTCTTCCTGCCCCCTCGCAGTTAGCCTGTCTATTGGAAACCACCAAAGCTGTTTCCACAGATAGCTCAAGACAGAAGGAAATCTTCAAAGAGTTTGCCTCCTCTCGTCAGACTCAAAACTGCAGAGCCATGGGTTTTAGGAAGGTAAGAAGGGTTCCGTGGTTGTTACTACAAAAGTCTCTCTCTGTATATAGATACGGATTGACACAGAGATGATATACAAGGTAAAGATACAGATAGAAAGACAAATGTCAACTATCCTTTGATCCTGCTTCTCTGGAGAATCCTGACTACAGAGGCCCAGAGGGGCTGATGGTTGTGATCTGGGATGCTGCTGCTACTGGCCAAGTCCAACACAGAAGACCTGTGGGCATCTTCTGAAGGTCATAGGACTTGACTCTGATGGTAATTGGCTCCACTTATGCTTTCTAGAGAGAGGAGGAGTACATGGTCTTTTTTTTTTTTTTCTTCTGGAAAACTGCCCCATTGCAGGAACAAGGGATGGATCTCTAAGGAACCTAGACTGAGTAATGTCAAGGACATAGTTCCTATAACTTTCATGGGGCCTCTGCTCACACTAAGGTTCTGTCGTGTGCCATTTCCCAGCTCATTGGGTGCAGTAGGAGCTCAGTTCATGTTGCTCGCTGTCACCCTGTTTCATAGTGAGCTTGAGCTGGGCCAGAAGCAAGATGTCTTCAGGCTGTGGCATTTCATCAGGGCACTTGAGGAAGGACAGGAGAGGGTGACCCACACTCTGATGGACTGGTTTAGGGTACAGAATGCTCTTCTTGACCCAGAACCATCCCAGTTACCATAGCTCATAAGTCAATCACTTGGGTGCCAAATACTTCATGGAAAAAAAGAGGGGGATTCCACACCTGGTCCTGACAACCTTTGTAGCAACCAAAGATGTGTTTTTTAAAATTTGTGTCCCAGATTATGGTCCGGGGATTAGCATGTGGTGTGGTCTTTGTTATCCCATTTCATGCTTTTCAGAAGATGTGAGGAAATCTCAGTCTACAAGGGCTTCTCTGCTTGGAGGGCTAGTGGGTGATTTCTGAGAATCAAATGAAACTTCAAATTTGTTGCTCTCTCTGCACAGACCATCACAGTCTCTTCCCACACCACCTTCTGTCACATTCCCTCAAGCTGGGCAGTGTTGTATCTATTGGCACTTGGTGTGTCTAATTGGGCAGGATGTCTGGCAGTGGCAGTTTGGGCTCACGGACATGAATTTATACATTCTCCATCTCTCCAGAGCAACAGAGCTATTGTTAACCACCCTTGTGTAGGAGTAGCTTCTAGAAATAGTCCTACCTCCCACTGTGTGGATGCACCCAGTGCCCTGACACCAAGCAGGGCGGGCAGAGGTTTATTCACAACATAAAATTGACCCCAGCCCTAAGACTGTGTGGGCTGCAGAGAATAAACCAGGACTTGAATGCCCAGACTCAGGAGCTAATCGGTGGAAAATCCCTCCAATCATCAAACATGTAAAACACTAAGCGGATAATTTGAAACAGAAGTTCTATCCTTCTAAGAATGTACTTGATAATGCAGCATCTACAATTAGAATGTCCCACATTTTTTTTTTCTTTTCAGAAAGGAATCAGATGTGGCAGAAGCAAGAACATAACTTTTCAAATTTCCTGCTAAGTTGTTGGGAAATACCAATACTGAAAAACCAGCAAACTTTTATTACACCAGTGCACCAAAGGCTGCCAGGGGCTGTTAGCAAATGCTGACCTGTCAAAATTTTCAAGAATGACTTCTATGCAAGAAAACACAGAATGTCTTCAAATCTTGCACCTTATAATAAAGCTAGTGTGGTGGTAGATTTTTCCCAAATCTGACATGACATTGCTAATGAATTACCACAGCAGTTTTATCAACTATTAATAAAAAAGCCAAGCAATTAAGGGAAAGATCAAATTGTCTGTATTGTTTCTCTATGGAAAATATGACAGAATTATTGTCATGTTGTCTTAGTTAATGATTGCTATTGCTGTGATGAAACACCATGACCAAAAGCAAAT